AAATCAGTTACAAAATTTCAGCACTGTCAGATAAAGGAGTGAGACTAACATTCATCTCATCGTATTTAACGTGGATCTATGTGTGGGTCTGCGTGTTGTGCATAGAGATGTGCAAACTCACTTAGTCTGTGAGTTTGTACATCTGTCTGTGTGTATTGTGTGCGACAAGCATCATGCTGGCCACAAGGGATGTGCCACCCAGGGACTTGATCCTCTTGGTACTTCCATGGGAAATAGCCTATCTTRCCAGGAAGTAGGAAGGGTCAGAGCTCAGAACCTACAACTCTTAATTTCCTGTGTGGTAGGCAGAATAATGGCCACCCCAGAGATGTCCACGTTTTAATCCCTGGAACCGGTGAATATATCACACGAGCAGGGGGAATTAAGGCTGTAGATGGAATTCAGGTTACTCACCAGTTAGACTTAAAGAGATGATCCTGAATTATTCTGGTAGCCCCAGTGCCATCACAAGGATCCTTAAAAAAAAAACAAAATAGAAGAGAGTGGGTCCTGGTGGCATAGATGTGCAATCCCAGAGACTTGGGAGGCTGAGGCAGGAGTATTACAAGTTCGAGGTCAGCCTCAGCAACTTAGTGAGATGGTATCAAAAAAAAAAAAAGAGTGCTGGGGATGTGGCTCAGTGGTAGAGCGCTCTTGGGTTCAATCCCTGGAACTGGAAAAAAAGAAAAAGAAAGAAGAGGGAGACAGAAGAATCAGAATGATGGGATGTGAGACTTGAGCAGCCACTGCTGGCTTTGGAGATGGAAAGGGGGCATGAACCAAGGAATGTGTGCCCCACCCGGGAAGCTGGAAAAGGCAAGAAAATGGATTCTTCCCCTAGAACCTCCAAAGGAACACAGCCCTACCGACCAATGCCTTGATTTCAGCCCAGCGAGTGTTGTTCTAAGCCATTAAATTTGTTGCAATAGCAACACAAAATAGATATACCTGTGACAACTGCATCTAGTTCACGGCACCTCTGAAAGGTGCCACGGAGTTGCATTTCTCATGGGGATGGGGTTAAAAAGGCTGCAGGTAAGGAGGAATCTAGAGTCTGAATCAACCTTGAACGTGCTTTAATTGCTACCTGTAGAGCTCAGGGACTGGGCGCCCCTAAACTAGAGCAGATCAACACTACCCAAGGTGCCTGCCCCACAGGACACCCTCCCAGGGCCACTCAGCTTCTTCCACACCCTCGGAGTTGTTTCTCTCTCCCTCTAGGCCTCTAATTAAATGTGCATAAATTCAGGGACYGTATGCTGCAATCCACTGTAATTTCAGACTGATTTTTTTTTTCTGAGCTTGCTAAGGAAAAGAATGGAAAAATATGAAATCTTCTATTTGTACTGTGGTTTGCTCTTTTTTATTAGGAAATGAACCAAATGTACAGAGGAGTGTGGAGAATATAACTCACATCTGTGTGCATATTGCTCATCTATGACAAATTCTACTGTTATTCTACATTTGATGACAACTTTTTTTTGGGGGGGGGTGGTTACTAAAGATTGAACCCCATGGTGCTTTACCACTGAAGTACATCTCCACCCTATTTTAAATTTTTAAAYTTTGAGGCAGAGTCTTGCTGAGTATCAATCTTCCTGCCTTAGTCTCCTTAGTGGGTAGAATTATAGGCATGTGCCACTACACCCAACTGATGACAACTTTTAGAATTAAATGAAATATTATGCATAAAGCAGAAACCCATGTGTCCTACTTATCCTAGCTGATGCTATCCCCAGTCCCTTCTCACCCCAGGAACACTCCCCATCACTGATTTTGATATAACATTCTTGTGCAAGCTTTTGTACTTCTATTACCCARAACTGTGTGTACCTTTAAACAAAAAAGTATCGATCTGCATGTTTAGGAACATTACATAAATGGTATTATTTGTGTAATAAATAATCTGCTATTTGCTTCCCTGGCCTCAGCTGGACATTGTCTTTGAGATTTATCCACACTGATACCTGTATTTGGTTCATTCTTATAATGGCTGAATCGTATTCACTTTTATCAAAACACCACAATTTGTTTATCCGTTCTTATATTCGTAGGCATTCTGGTTGCCTCCAATTTTTCTTTAACAGAAACAAAGCATCAATGATCAATCTCGTACCTTGCTTGGCCCTGTGCTAGCCTTCCTCTACGTACATACTTAGGAAGTGAACGCCTAAATCAAGGATGCATTTAGCTTTAGCATTACTGGTTAGTGACAAACTGCTTTACATAGTTGTCATCACAATTCCCCCACTGGCAGTGTAGGTAAATTTCCTTTAATCCACATTCTGGCCAACACAGATTAGTTTCTGTCCCCTGAGGGCTAAAGAGTCTTGTCCTTCTCAGGCCAGGGTGGGGTGGCACATATCCACCCAGTGCATTCTCATAGGAACTGTGGGCAGAGGTGACACAGGTCTTATTTATGACCATMTGGCAGGAGGGTACCCTAAGGCCCAGAATGATGAGCCCAACGTAGCTGGTCCTGGTCCATCAGGAACTGAAAGGACCCAGGAGCCTTGGATCCCAGGCATGCATCCCATCATGGGGACCAGATACACGGTGAGAACACAAACTCTGCACCCACCCTCAGAGAATAAAAGCTATTCAAAGAATTTGTGCTGTGTGGCAAATACCAACAATTATACACAGTAACAGAGGACAAGGAAATTGCTATTTTGGGGGGGAGGGGGACTTTTCATAAAACACACCCTTTCCTTCTTTGATCCTGACAATACCCCTGTGAGAAGGACTCAGATTATTACTGTCCCAACTTTACTGAAAAGTGAGGTTCGTAGTAGAAGATTGGATCATGAGGGCTGGGATGTAGCTCAGTGGTACAGTGCTTGCCTAGCATGCACAAGGCCCTGGACTCAATCCTTTGTACTGCCAAAAAAGCAATTCCAATGATTGGATCTTGAGTCCCTTTATCTTTGCAGCATGTCAGCTGGAGATGGACATCTGAGAATCAAGGATTCGGAATGTGTACTGAGAGCACAGGCAGGTCTGTGACATCTCTCCTGGYCTCTAGCCAAGTCCCCCTGGCAAGGTCACACCACAAACTCAGACATTTCTTTACCTAGTGACACCTGAAATCAAACTGTAACATCTTGACTCTGGCCCCTAGCAGGCCCGTGGATTTGGGGAGCAAGGCACTTGCTTTCTATGCCTTGGTTTTCTTGTCTGCAACATGGACAGAYAGCCCTGGCCTCCCAGCAAGGCTGTGAGCTAGCTGAAGTAGCCCATGTGCATAGCCAAGCACAGAAGACCCTCAAGCACTCGCTGCCMCAATGAAGCTGTGACTGTGACTTCAGCTGCCCTTGGGAGGGGCAGYAGGCCCGGGCAGGAGGAAGACACCACAGCAAGACAACCCAATGTGGCTCACTGATTCTGGGGACAGCCCATCCATACAGCCTAAGAAGGGCACTAATCTGGAAAGGCTGGCTCTTGATACCCATGCAGGGAACTAGAGGAGCCACAGCCAGGGACAGCCAATGGTCCTGCAGGAGCATCTGCCAGGTCACCTGAAGGCCCTTGTAAGTCCACGACTTCATTCTTCTCTCAGCTGAACAATGCAGAAGGATTACAGCTGAGGGTTCACTGCACACAGTCACAGCTGAGAGTGGGCAGCCCGGGCTGTGCCTGAGGCAGGGATCAGGGAAGCCCACACCACACACGGTGGAGGGAACCTGAGATGCAGAAGCGAGGGACCAACTGTGTATCCTGACYTACTTTCCATTTTCACCCATCCCAGAAGGCCCTGCCCATGACTTAGGAAGCAATCCAAGGTCACTGGTGCACTTGACACCAGTCTTTATCATCAATTAATTTCCTAGCCCCAATCATGGCAGAAAAACATGTGGTTAGAAGATAGGCATGTTGGGATCCACTCTCAGTTCTGCCTTTTTATCTGGATGAACTTTAACCTTTATAAGCCCCAGTTACAGAGGAGCTAAAAGCACCTTCCCCACCTGTCCATTCAGGCTGTGGCAGCACATGAGATAATGCACATGGCATTAAAGTAGCCATGTGAATGGCATGGAGTTGTTCCTGCTCTGTGAAGAGGCATCGTGCTGTGGAGGTGAGACGTGGGTGTGCCCCTGTCTCACGCACACATTTGCCAAGTAAGTTGGTTCACTCCACCATCCTGAGACAGGCTGAAATAATATCCAGGCTTCCTAGAAAGCATATCTATAGCCATGGCCTCCGAGCTTCCTTTCTGACCAGGTGAGAAACTCAATCATGGAGACAGTCACAGTCAACCAGTGACAGGAGAAAAGCCATASGTTTCTGGAGGCAGAGTTCAAATACCAGCTCTGTCCCTTGCTAGCTGGATGTGCTTTGACAGGTCCCTTGCCCATCTAGAGCCTCAGCTAAGTCATTTGTAAAACAAAAAGAATAATTCCTATTTTGTACTGTCTCAAGAAGTAAATGAGATTCTATGTGCTTGTTACACTAAACGTCTTCAACAAATCAAGTTTAATCTCCAGGGCCTTCTAATTCCCCACCTGTGAATGAGGGACAGTTGCTGCCCCCGTGCGGGGCTGCAGTGTGGATGACATGAGACAGCACGTGGAGCCAGCATGAGATGGGCCAGTGCCTATAGGCTCCAGGGGGGACAAGACGGAAGATTCCCCAGTGACTCCTCAGTACCTTGGAGAGTACCACCCAGAGCATTAGTGAAGTGAATGAGTGAAGTAAGTACTCTCAGGATGGTAACTGCGGGTTACCTGAACTTCCCTCAGCTTCRGCTTCCTCATCTGTAAAATGGGTAGAATAATACCTACCTGGGAGGGCGGTTGTGGAAACCAAGTGCCTACGGCAGACGCTCCAAACACTTTCTGACATGGGGTGCACCTTGCACCCTGCTCCCCAGCAGACACMACAGGAGGCAGCTGGGTAAGTAAGAGCAATGTTTACTGAGCAATACAGGACTGCTTACTAGGAAGGGTTTACAAGGAGGGAAAGGTACCCCAGCCCGCCCCAGCCACCCCTGACACCCAGAGACTACAGTACTTAGGAGTTACACACAACGGCCATAATGGGTGGATATCTGTCCATAACAAACAAACCATAGCATATTTATACTGTATCACATCGAGTGATTATAGAAATCCAYATATATATTGCTTGTATAAAATCTTTTTTGTAAAAAATATTAAAAAAAAAAAAAGAAAAAGAAAAAGAAAGTATAAAAACCGTGTGCAGTGGAAAGCCCTGCCAGGACAGCCAGTCTGTAAACATTCAGTGAGTATGTGCTTTGGAAGGGCGCCCGCGCCTCAGTGCCCTCGGCAAACTCCCCAGGCCCGGGCCAGGCCCGCGAGGGCGCACCCGGCTGCCACCTCCCGGACAGGGACATCGCCCGCCCCCTCCACCTCTGTACCAGGGTCGGGGGAGGGCTAGGGGCAGGCGATKGCAGGTTTGCGCTGAGTTCCATCCTCAGCTCCATTTTGGTTACAACTCATGGCTTTTCCTGGCTGCTCGGTGGTCCCTCGGGTGGGTGGCGCTGGCAGAGAAGCTGGATTCGCGCCTGAGGCTGCCAGCTGGGCATCTCTCTGATGCAGGTGCCTCGTCCTGCCTCCCTCCAGCCGCGCCCCAGGCAGGACAGCCCCACCCGCAGTTCAACTTTGGTCTCAGCGCTTGGTCCCTCTGGGTTCCCTCAGCCCGCTCTTCCCCGCGTGTGGCTGATCCGAGTTCCACGCCAGAGCCCGCCCAAGGCCRCCGTGCTGAGCCTCAGTGTAGAGTTTGTCATGCACCAAGGAAAGGCCATCTGGGAGCCCCCTCCTCCTCCGTCTCTCCTCCTCCTCCTCCCCTTCCTCCTCCTCCTCTGCCAGGCCCACGGTCACTTCTTCTCCAGCTGCTCCAGCAGCGGGTGGCCTTCGGACTCCGGTGTCTTGACGCTGTCGGTCCTGACGATGCAGGTGGGGCGGTGGCGGTTCAGCATGAGGATGAGCTGCTGCCGCTCCTGCTTCAGCTCCTCGATCTGCGTCTTCAGCTCCGCGTTCATGAGCTCCAGCCGCTCGGACTCCTGCGCAAACAGACACACACTGTGAGACTCCCCCGTGGGCTCCGAGCGGTTCTGCCTCTGGGTGGGCGCAGGGCACCTGCGGGTGGCATTGGTATGGCCTGCGTTGTTTTCTACTTGTTCCCTGTGGCAGTTAAGGCTCTGGGCTAACTACTTTCTGCAGGCAGTGACTTTGTGACACTGGTCTGTCACAGTGGGATGAGTCCAGGTGACATTCTGGAGCCAGCCTGACTCATGTTGGGCCTCAAGGGCTTTTGCACAGGAAGTAAAAGGTGGGCAAAGAACAGAGGCCAGGAGGGTCTAGTGGAGGGTGCACAGAAGGCCTGTGGTGGCCGAGGATGACTGTACAATGGCAAGTGCTCTGATGTATGATAAATATATAATGGGGATATTCTGGCCTGTGGAATCCCAGTGTGGTCATGTCAGTCTATAATTATTTAAAGTCTCTTCCACACCTGCTGAAATCTATAGACATTTTGTTCACCGAAGGGCAACTGTCCAGCAGCCTACTGGATCCGGAGTGGGGTTTAGTGGACTTCAAGTGAGATTTCCAAGGCACTTCCAGCTGAGCTGGAGAGGCTCTGGGCAAAGGAAGAGATGTTGACTTGGTGGGGCTGGGGTCATGTGTCCATAGTGGGGACAGGTGATGGCCACACCAGTTCAGGACCTTGGGGTCCAACAGAATGACGGAAAAGCATCTGAATGATTTTTTTTTTTCTGGGACTATGCTTAAACACTTAGAACCAGTTTGAGAGCTAAAATTTATTCCTRGGCCAGCAAAGTTTTAGGCCAATTTAGTTCTCAACTGGGAGTGACTCTGCCTCTCAGGAGACATTGGACAATGTCAGGARACGTTTTTGATTGTTACCAGTCAGGGAGGATGGGCAGAGGCCAGTCTGCTATGGACAGTGAAAACTATCCCATCCAAAATGCCACAGGGCAGAGACTCAGCAACCCATCGGCTCGGGAGGCTGAGGCAGGAGGATCGAAAGCTCAAAGCCAACCTCAGCARAATCAAGGTTTTAAGCAACTCAGTGAGACCCTGTCTCTAAATAAAATACAAAATAGGGCTGGGGCTGTGGCTCAGTGGCCAAGTGTCTGTGAGTTCAGTCCCTAATACCAAAAAAAAAAAAAAAGGAGCAGGCTGCGGTGTAACTGAGCATGTGACAATCATATTGTCCCTCCACCAGCACAGGGCAGGAGGAACAGCCTCCCTCTAAGGGTTCTGGAGCCTCAGTGGGGCTCACGCACCCCAGGTAGGCTGCCTTCCTCAGTCCAGTCCACTGGGTTGTTCCTTGTGCTCATCTCCAAGGTGGCAGAATGAGCTCCTGACTGCTGGGGAAGGTTGGCCTCGTGGCCAGAGACCCAGAGAGAAAGCCTCAAAAAAGGTGGGAAAAAAGTGCTCGGAAAAGATATTAAAAACCATTTATGGTGGTTTTTCGTTTGACAGGCTGAGACGTGACTGGGAAGCTGGCCTGGTCCATGGGTCTCGGGATTCTGAGAAATCTACCTTGGGAGCCAGGAGAGACCCCACAGGAAACCATAATAGTCTGTGGAAGTTTGGTGCCAATGTTAGCCACCTGCACAGTGAGTGACTCTGGGGACTTTTGACATTCTAGTTCTCCAGCCCAAGGTGCTAGCTCTGTCCTCAAATTTTCCTGAGCTTCTGCCTCAAGGAGTCTCAGGGTACCCCACCACCCATGATTTGCAGAGGACCTGCTGGAATAGAGAATGTCTGGGGAATCCAAAGGCTCTGTGAATCTTTTCATCTCTGAACTTACTAGGAACCATCAGCCACCCAGGGCTTAGGAGACCTTCAAAAAGGATTAATGAGCAGGGTCTCTCCTTGGCTTAAAAGATKAGTTGGTTCTGGTGGGTAGAGAAGGGAAGGGAAGAACTTCAGGTAGGAGCCCTGAGTGAGCAGGGACAYAGACATGGGAGAGCAGAAGATGTATAAAGAAGATACAAATGGTCCAGGTGTCCCACAGCTCACTTTTTGGATACAGTAGTGTAGAAGGCAGGAAAGGCAAGTTAAGAGCTAGATTCTAGCTCTGGAAAGCCTGTGGATTTAGCATCAGAGTCTGGGGCACATTTCTTAACTTCTCAGAGCTTYGGTCCTTTCATCTGTAAAAAAGGCAATGATCTTGGGGATCAGAAGAACTGATCCCAATAATATGAAAAAGAAAGAGAAGAAATATGTTTCAAAGAAAATAGGTCCTGATGACCACCAGGATTTGGAGAATGGAGGAGATGSAGCAGAGCTGACCCTGAGACTGAGGAAGGAGTCTGTCAGGGGAGCTGTTCTGGAGAGTGTGGGCAGGGCAGAGAAGTTYATAAGTGCAGTGAGTTTGAAGTCAAAACCGATACCAAGCAGATGTGTCCAATATGCGGAATTCATTAATATCACACACAGATGCACCTGCCAGAAACAGCCGCATGTCCAAACAACCCATCAGTGTCACCTGACACCAATGAGGCAACTGGCTCTGCACAGGCAACTGTCACAGGAATGCAGTTGTCTGTTGGTTTGAGAATGTGAGAGCCTACCACGGGCTCTCTTGAAGTCTGCCTGGCTGTCACAATGTCACTAACCACCTTTCCCTTTTGTTAGGGGCTGGGGCTACGTATTTATTTCTTGTGCAACCGTAAGAAGACTCTCTTTTTAATCATGATTGTAGAAGTGGCTTGTGGCTTTGTAATAGCAATTACCCGATTTGTTTTCCTAATGAATGAATAGGAACCAGCGAGGACCTCCACATGTTAATTAGGAAATGAAATGATTCTGTCTGTATTTTTTTTTTTTGTGTGTGTGTGTGTGTGTGTGTTTGTTGTTTTGACTTCTGGTAGATATTTATTGCTCTAGAAGAATTGAAACCATTTGTTGTTTTAGAACCGAATCAGTGCAAGGGGAGGTTCTGTCTCCTACGCTGTGGTCAGCAAAGTCAGTAGTAAGAAATATTAGGTGAAGGGCTGGGTGGCCTGGCCAAGTCACTCCCTGTTTCTGGGCCTCAGTGATGTCTCAGAAAACATGATGAYTGGCCTAAAAGACTTCACTACAGTCTCTGGCTTTATATTTTAAAAAGTCAAAAAAAACTACTCAAAGGTACATAAAATAGAGTTCCATGAACTTTTTTTAAGAGTTGAGAAGTAGCGAGGTGTGGCATTCAGAGCCTGAAAGACGTGTCTAAGTTAAAATTCTGATACTGCTACTTGCCAGCTACGCCACTCTGAACATGTTTTGTAATTCCTCTGAGTCTGGGCAACCTGAATAGGATACTAGTCAGCAGAGGAAGCCCTGGTCTCTGTCYACCGACTCAGCCGCTGTGTGACATTGAGCGAGTCTTTAAGTCCTCAGGATCCTCCTTAGTGGAATGGGGCTCTTAGTTTCCTCCCAGAGTGGTTGTGACCATTAAGAAGAGAGAGCTATGCAGAGTGCAGAGCACCATAGGAACGTGAGGTGACATTACTACCAAGACCCAGAGAACCTGCCTTAGGCACAGGCGCTGGACAGGGCCGGTGGTATGGTAGAGTAGGTGTTTGACAAGTGTTACTGGAATGAAGGACAGTTCCCACAGTACACTGGGCCTCCCAGTGTAATACTCAGAACACCTGGGGCTGCTGCTCCTGACCACAGACAGAGGAGGCATTTGGGAAGCCCTAGGGCCTACAAGGTGTGGACCCAACCCCTCTAAGGGCCTGATTCCTGCTCAGGGTTCAGGGCCTCAGCTGGTAGAGGCAGGGAACTCTCCAAGATGCAGTAAGAATGTCCCAGGGGAGGATCTGGTGTCCGGGGGTTTGGAGGCAGTCAACACAGACAGTTGCACTTGTGCCTAGACCTCACACTCAGCCTCCCGRGCGGGGTAGGGAGTAGGGGGCCTGGACTTGGGCCCAGACATTRCTGCCTCAAACTGTCCCACCCAGACCCCAGGCGACACTCATCTCTTCACCTTCCCAGCCTCATCTTCTCTCATTGGGACAACAAGGACACTACTCAGGTCTGCAGCCCATGCCCCACCTTGTAGCCAGAGGGATGCTTCAGAGGTTTTCCCCCTCCTCCTGAAACCCTCTCATGGTTTTCCGTAAACCGTCATCCTAGTCACTAGGCCAGGACAACAGGCGTAATCCCAGACTGTCCCAGGCAACCCAGCACCTAGGACCACTTCGCAAACGCCACTTCTGGGCCCGCCTGCCTCTGCAGTTCTGCTCAGCTCCCTAACCTCCAGCCACACAGACATTCTGTCAATGCCTTAACCACATCCGTAAGCGACACCTCCCACCTTCGCACGAACCCTCCCTGGAAACCCCTACAGCCATGTCCAGCATCTTATTCCTTCTGCTGCTCTGATCTCACAGCTGAAGCCTAGATGTTCCCTGGCTTAGCCCAGGACAGTCCCCCTGCAGTTCCCACAGTACACTGGGCCTCCCAGAGTGATACTCAGAACACCGGACTCTCCTCCAGCTCCCACCGCCATCCCAGGGCAGACACAGCCTGTTTATCCACAGTGCAACAGGAGCAGCCGGCACTCATCCATCGTTAGTTGGATGGACCAGTGGATGAGCAAATGGATGAGTGAATCCCCGCCCTCCACTTGTCATCGGTGACTTCAGGCAAGTAACTTGACCTCTCCGAGCTACAGGTCAGTCTCTAAAATGGGAAGAGTTAATATCTCACTGGACTATTGTAAGGATTCATGGAGATTTGTGAAAAACCTGGCACATAGTAGGTGTTTGACAAGTGTTACTGGAATGAAGGACAGCGAGTGCTGTCTGTCTGGCAATGACTGGATGTCACACTGTGTGTCACTGGTATGTGGGCTCGGGTATGTCTTGCTGCTAACGGTCTGACAGGCCCCTGGAAGAGGGGGCTCTGGTGAGGCTTCTCTAGCCCTCTGTGCCTCCCCCAGCTCTGTCTGCTGCAGGGCAGGCAGAGTGTCCAGTACTGTCCCCGARTGCACCAGGCAGAGCTCTGGACATGTAGCACATGTGAAAGAACACTTTTGGAATCAAGGAATGAACAAAAGAATGAATGAACCAACCGGTGAACCAGTGAACTAGAGCCGGTGTGGCGGAGTGAAGGACAAAGGCTTGCGGTCAGCCGCAGGCTGGGCTCTCATCCCACCTAGCCGCTGAGAGACCTGGGTAAGTGACTTGACCTCCCCACACTTTGGATTCCTTATCTGTAGAAAGTCACCCACCTCATATGGTTGTTCAACCAACAAAATGAGATCAAAACATTTCATGTAGCACTTAGCACAGTGCCATCTTTATACATGCTAGCAACTGTGGTTAATTGTTATATACTGGCAGAACAGGGCCTGTTCTTATGCTGTTATTATATATTGTTACTGCTCTTAYTTATTATATTTACTATTATCATGATTGGGTACTGGTTTGGACTAATCAACTTTCTGGTTGCTTCTTCATTAGAAGAAACATCTGTCATTACAGGATGCAGGGAAGGTCGAAGAGCTAGGACTCAGGGGGGAGGCAGAACAAACTTGGCACATTCCAAGAGAAAGGGCAGGTAGAGCCACAAGGAAAAGGCTCAGCAGCCTAGGGCTGCCTTGRATCCCCAGAGACAGCGGCCAAGCCTGGGGTGGGGAGTGGGGGCACTTCTTCAGTGGGACTGGTGGGTGACCAGGGCTTCCCGGTGACAGGCTGGGCAGAAGCTGCTGCAGGCTGCCTCGGTTTTCTGGATTTKGGGAGAGGGTATCATACAGGTGGCAGAAAGGGCAGTGGGTGTGGCCGTTGATTCCACACCATCAGATGATGTCTCCTGTGCAGAGAGAACACCAGGACAGGCCTCCCCGCCCGCCGGCCAGCCCCGGCTCACCCGCTGCAGGAACTCTGTGCGTTCCTTCTTCTTGTTGCGGCATCGGGCTGCTGCGACTTTGTTCTTCTCCCGACGCCTTTTCCGTCGCTCCTCTTCCTCATCTAGCTGTGAGGGCAACGGAACCACTGATTAGGCACTGAGACCGGCTGGGACCCACGGACAGACAKAGGGACAATTCCCCCTTCCCAGCCGAGCGCTCACTGGTGTTCAGCCYGCTGGCTGCTGAGAGGGTCCTCTCCAGACCAGTGGGTATCCCGGGGAGCAGTTGCCCTCCCACAAGCCCTGGGTTGGCTACCTGAGCCTGCCAGAGGTAGGGGGCCAGGACCCGGGGAAGCCACTTTGACAAGGCTGCACCTGGCAGGCGGCYGGCCTGTTCTCCTCGCCCGGCCCAAGGCCTGCGGGCATGATTTTCCGGGCCAGCAGTTCTCAGGCACTTCCTCTGAAAGTGTCTTGGGCACGGACACTGCTTTCCCATCCCACCCGCACCCCTCTCACCTCCCAGATTCTTTAACCCCCTCCTCCCACCCTTTGTTGACATTTTAAATCCTCACGCCCTTCCATGTCGATGTTCCTCCCTCCTGGTCTTTCCAAATTCTCAGATCCATTTCCCTATCCATCTCCCATTGGCTCCAGGGAAACCCTTCACCTTTGCTTCTTCTTCCTCGGGATGCCATTGAGGAAGCTAGGGGATTCCAGGGCCCAGCTAGGGGCCTCCTGTGTCTCCAACTCGCTTCTCTCCCAGGACACGTTGGAACTCACCACGCATGAGCCCATTAGATGGGGAGACAGAAACCCACCGCCCACCAGCTCCGCCTCTGAGCCTAAGCGGCAGTTGTTAGCTTCATTAGTGATAATAACGAGAGCTGCCATCGATTGCCTGCTTTGCTAAATACTTTCAGTGCATCATTTAATTCTTATAATCGAGAGTCTTATAAGGAAGCTGCTATTATTGTCCCATCTTATAGACAGTGACACTGAGGTTCAATGGCTCCGTTTGTCTAGATCATACAACAGGGAAATGACAGAGCCAGGATTTTAAACTCAGATTTCATGAGCTTCAATTCTCCTGCTCTTGAATCCTGGAGTGCACAGCCCTGGTCCGTCCAGGGCACTTTGGTATGGTAACTCCTGCTGCCCATTACCTATTAGGAAAATCTGGAGGACTCATAGGTCCTGCTGGGCTGGGGCCAGCTCAGAGTCAGAGGCCACTAGAGAAGCTGTTGGACTGCCCCGGGCTTGCCAACTCTCTCACTTCTCAAGCAGGGCAGTGGGTGGAGCGGGGGTGACTCTGGCAGCACAAGGCCTGCAGCAAGGTCTCAGCCCAAAGGGCTATAGGCCAGGAAAATAAGCAGCCTCTCTTCATGCACTCCCAGCATGCTCTAGGAGCTCAGGACAGAGGGCCTGAGCCCTGGCAGGGCAGCCTCTTCTTCCTTCCCCACCACCTCTGGGCTTCTCCTGACCCACTCTCACCCCCAGGAGGCTTCTCATCAACACCACCACACCCAAGCACTCCCAACCCCTTGGCTTCCTTTGAAACAGAACCAGAAGTGACAGCTCCTCTGGCTGACCTGCATCTGGGAAAATAGAAACCTGGCCGAAATTGATTCCGCCCAACCTCAGCCTCACCCCTAGGGTAACCGTGACGACAGGCACAGGGAAGGAACTGGAGGAAGTGGCTGGCAGTGCAATCTCCCCTCCCTCGGCCAAGAGGGTTTGCCCACAAACTGCCAAGGTGATGTGTGCAGRCTGGGCACTGCTGGGCCTCCAGCCTTCCCTTGGGGGACACGCCCCCTGTGCCCCAAGGCCTGACTCCAACCCCACCCCTGCACAGGACCTAATTCTGCAGAGTCAGGAGCAAATGCAGAAAGGCCCCGCGCTGAGAGAAGTTTAACAGAGTAACTGGGCCAGCTCGACCCCCAGATTGGCAGAGTTGCTCCACCCACCCTCTGCAGTCACATCCATCCCCCCTCTACCATCACCCTCTACTCCAAGTCTCACCCTCTCTAAGTCAGCCAGGCCTTCCTGACCCCCACTAAGAGGATCTTTCTTTCCCACCTGGTAAACCCCTGCTCAGCCTTTAAGAGTAAATGTCACCTTCTCTGCAAAGGCTCCTGTGACTCCCCACATAGAATCAGCTGCTCTTTCCTGTGCCTGTTGCACCTCACCACCGCCCTTGATTTACGTGGCACCTGTCTTCCCTGCAGGTCTAGACACAGGGATCTGAACATGGCACTTGGAAGGAGCTCCACAGATGTCACTCGGAGGAATGAATGGAATAAGGATTCCAGAGGACGATGCCACCGGCTTGGATTCTTTCACTATGAAGCAACTTAGCACCATGTTGCATCTGCATAATCTTTTCCCTCAGTGCTCAGGGAACCCTTCCCTGCAGGGAGGGCCTCGTCTCTGTAGAAGGCAAGTAAAGCTTGAGCATTGGGTCCCAGCTTCCCCAGAAGCAGAGTCCAGATTCAGGGGCACAGGGCACTGATGGCTGTGGCAGGTCTGCACGAACCCCAAGCAGGCCTAGAACCTGGAGTGTACACGTGGGCCTGAAGGCCCCAGTTCCATAGCCTCTCTCCAGAGGACAGAGGGCCTGGGCCTTGGCAGGGCAGCCCTCTTCCTCCTTCCCCAGCTCTCATGCTCACCCCCAGGCCTTTCCTGCACCCATTCCTCACCTGGGCTGGCCTCTCTTAATAAGGCAAGACATGGCCCCAAAGTCCCCTTGCCACACCTTCCCCATTAAACTGGTGCAGTGTCTTCCCTAAATCCTCCTGCTGCTGTTTAAAAACTGCCCAGAGGAGATGTAGAAAAAGGTTGTCGAAGCCCCCAAAATAAAGTAGGATCTGCAGGGCCCCACAGCTCCCCAGGATCCTCTCACAGGTGCCGGCACCATCTGTGCCCCCAAATGGGACCACTTCCCTCCCCACCCCCCAAGTCCTCTTTCAGGCTCTTGCATCTCCAGAATGAAGGCTTCTGCCTCCTCCTTCCTGAGCCTTCCCGAATTCTCTAGAGCATTTGGCCAGAGTGGGCGAGAGCACTGTTTGTACCACACTCAGCTTGGACATCTAAAAGCAGAACCCCGATTGGAGGGGACGATGCTCTCTACAGACCCAGCTGGGAGAGCCCTGGTGGGTGAGGAGGGGGCTGGAGGAGAGGAGCATGTCTTTCCCTGTCTGCAAACTTAGTTCTGGCTGTTTTTCCCACATTCCCAGGAGGGCCCAAGGGCCAAGCAGACTGTGTGCTGGCAGTGAGGGGTGCCCTGAGTCACATCTTACACCAGAGGAAGAGACTTGGGGACCCATGGCCAAGTGGGCCCTTGTTTCTATCAGCCCCTCCCCCTCCTCAAAGAGTCTGTCCTCAAGCCCCTGATGAAAGGCAGGGAAGTCCCAGTCCCTGGCCACTGGGATGTATTCAGTATATTCACTAAGGTACCAAGCGCTGGGTAGGGAGACACGTAGGGCCACCAACTTTAGCCATGTGGTCATAAGCAGAAGGATCAGGCTGCTGAGGTACCAAGAAGCAGAGACCAGGGAGAAGCTGAGCTGTCAGACGGAGTCAGAGATGAAAAAGCAGACCAGGGCCTGGGCTAGGGTGAGCGAGCACGGGGCACCCTGCATGCACTGGGGGGCCCCTCCACTCTGCGGCTCATGAAGGTGCAGGGTCAGCACCTGAGAGTTAGCGTCTCCTTCATGGTCGTGCGCGGGCCCCTCACTTGCTCACCCTGGCCTGGCCCTGTGAGAGCTCCCAGCAGAGACAAAGATGAGTGAGAGCAGCGGAGCAGCAGAACCACAGACAGAACAGAGTTGGTGGTGTGGACAGAGGGACAAGCAGCGGACAGGCAAAGACACACAGAAAGAAACTATCTTGGTCCTTTCTATCCCACTCCTTGTGAGGCCTGAACATGCACCCTGTCCCTGGGGTTCATAATGTGCACCCCTGAATTTATCCTGTGACTTCCTCCTGTGGCCTGGAGCGAAAGGGAGGGTTTGTTGTTGTTGTTGTTGKTGGTGGTGGTGGTGGTGTGTGTGTCCTGGGGATTGAACCCAGGGGTGCTTTACCACTGCRCCATGCTACATCACCAGCTCTTTTTATTTCATTTTGAGATAGAGTCTCACTAAGGTGTCAAGGTTGGTCTTGAACTTGCAATTCTCCTACCTCAACCTCCCGAGTAGCAGGGATTATGGGTGTGTGCCATTGTGCCTGACAGTCCTGGAGTGAGCTGAGAAGGTTTCTGGCACTTCCAGAAAGACGTCTGGGACACCAGGGTTCTACTCTCGGAAAGACAGGGGATGCCAGATGATAATGGAGAGTAGAATATGGTCCCCAGTAATTAGGGGAAAAAACCTACACGAGAGCAATGTTTCTAGAACCAACTGTTTGGACAGCGGCAGAACCTGGATGAAGAAAGGCCCCTTTAAACAGCAGTCATAAAAAGCAAATGGTGGGTATCCAGCAGGGAGGAACGGGAGAAATGAAAACCTCTGACTCTCCTGCTGCTACCTCCCAGTGGCCAAGCCCGACCCAAACCAGAGTGCAAGGGATGCTGGGTAATGTGGTCTATTGCATAGGCCACCAGGGGCACAGGGCAGGGTAGAACAGGAACGGAGCTGTCGGGCAAGGGAGAATATCTAGGTGACCCATCCGAGCTCACCCACAGTGCTGGTCCCAGTCAGGACTGGCAGACAAGGGATCAGGGCCATCCCCGCAGCTGGCTCTGACTGAATTCTTGCCAGCTCAGGCCTGGTGCTTCACGACTCCAAGTGTGGTCTGCAGACAGCCATGTCCCAGCCCACAGAAGTGCCTGTTAGACAATCCGCTCTCCACCCAGACCTGCTGAATTGGAGTCTTGTGTGTCCGACAATTCCCGGGTGACTTGTGTGTGCCTAGAGGTTGGCTCAGGAGGCCGGTAAGTGCTGCTGGAGTTTCTCTCCACAAACGTATTCTTCATTTCAGTAAACATCGCCACCCTCGACCTGGTCACTCAACCAAATGCAAACCTGGAGGCATTCTTAATCCCTTTCCTCCCATAGTTCACGGGCAGGTGGCCTCTCTAAGCCACACACCCACACCTCTCCAGCCCTGCTGCCTCCACCCTAGGCCAAGCC